GAACGCAGGCACCTACAAATAGCCAGATAAGGGCTTGTGGTGTGCGAGATGAACGCAAGCGGAGGATATAATATAAATGTTTACAAATTTTTATAAAAAGGCCTTCTGTGTGAAGAGAAAATGTAAGGTGAGTCGCCAGAATAACACCAGGTATCGGAAACAGGATACCTCGTTGGGCAGAATGTCAATTGTTTCAGCACTGGGAGAGGGTCGCAGTCGAAAAATACGCTGGACTGGCTTCCGCTCGTTAAGCAGAAGGTCGTTTGCTGACGATCATGTTGAGACGTGGTTCAGGCCATCCTTCAGTATTTGGAGATGTATCTGACTTTTAAGAGGATGATCAATAACCATATCATCAGCATATTTAAAAAGCAACCATTCGTTGGGCGATCGCAGGTCGTCAGTGTGGAAGAAGAAGAGATGAGGGGATAATATGGTTTCTTGGATAACTCCACAGTTGTTGGGAAGGACCTTGTAGTTTCGCTTGCCGCACCGAAAGAACTGAGTGTGGGAAATTAAATCGTCCCCAAGCCAAGAGACAGCCCAGGCGGGAGAGCCGCATGCAGAAGTTTTATTAAGTAGAAGATGGGGCGGGATCGTATAACAGGCTCAGAGTAGTCGAGAAAAGCACATCCGTGCGCACGGCAACCCTTATCTAAATCCCTTAGAGCAGAATGGACGACCACAGCAGGCCACGGGGGATCCAGCTTTATAAGTTCACACCTTTGTTAGTAGGCTAAGTTACGGTGTTCTGTAGTGAAACTCTTTTCGTTGTGAGTTTCAAAATATGTAATTAATCCCTTCTTTATGATCTTCTCCATTACCTTGCAGCATATGGAGGTCACACTCACGGGTCTGTAGTTGTTCGAAACCGCACGACTGCCGCTTTTGTAAAGCGGTTTAATGTGCGCTGTCTTCCAATCTGGGGGAAGGATTCCGGTATCGAACGATTGCTGGCACATCATAGATAGCGGTTTAGCCAGCTCTCTAGCAATTTTCTTGAGCATTTTAGCAGGAATCATATCTGGAACGGAAGATTTACATTCCTTCAAGCTTTTAGTTCTTGAAAAATCGTTTCTTCTCCAAACAGAATGTCCTCAATATTTGGCGATCCTGCGATCTCGTCACTAGGCAGTAGTGGGGTGTAAACCCATTCGAGGAGTGGATAGATCCGCGATATGCTAGTAGACAGAGCGGGAGTTGGAC